AAGCAACACTCCGAAGCCTGAACATGGAGAAACCCAGCTAGAGACATCCATCTTTCACGAACAAGCCATCCACAAGCGAAAGAGAGAGCTGCCTCGCCTGGAGTGCCTCGGAGCGCTGAAAAAAACCCAAGGCTCAAGCCCAGAAGACTCTTTCCCCACTCGCAAGGTCCGGAGAACCCCCGAGGCGTGAAAGATGAACATGACGTTTGCCTAGAATGAAAACTGCAAACTAACTAGTCAGGCATTTCGTCCTCCTTTTCGTAAGGCTCCACAGATGCAGAGATCGACACGTGCAGGCTTCTCTCTGTCCGAGGACCGTGCTGAAGCGCCCCAGCTTCGAGATTCGAGGCGAGAGCGTTCCGACACATCAAGTCGCCAACCCGTACACGCAAGTAGGACTTTCGATTCGTTTGGTGAAGCATGGGATTTAAGGTGCCGGTGTCGTGATAAGCTCGGGGTGGTGCCTTTGAAGTGATGAAAGTTCATGTTTGGAGAGTCTTTGGTTGGCACATTTATGATCCGAAAAACCTACATCCAAACCCATGGCCCCGGACACCCGCGGCTCAGGGATCGCCTTCGCTGCCCCCAGGAGTGACGGTGGACACCTGTCCACTCAATTCGGCTTGAAGCTTTGACTTAGCTCCTCTTTGAAGCATCGGATGGCGTGAGGTTTGCAAGGTTGCAAACCCGTTTCGACGACCCAACACGCAAGCTCGATACCATTATTACCAGCAAGGCGAAAATCTGCCACAGACGAAGTTCCCCCCGCGAATTTCCAAGTTTCCACGGTTGGTGCCTGGGGCCTACTGCATGCTACAACCCTTGGTGTTGGCCTGAGTTTTTTGAGTCTCCCATGGCAAGTCGGTTACGTCGAGCTTGGCTCTCTCTCTCTCTCTCTCTGCCGTTGAGAACACCCTTTTGCCCACCACTAAACGGCCCGTCTTTGCGCAGATAGCATGCAGTGTTTGGGTGGCCAGCCCGGGGCGGAACATGCTGCCAGCCCTCTGCACCTTTTACTAAACGGCAAAATCTTGCACTACGACATCGGACTGGTCAGGGAAAACACAAAAACCGAATCCTTCCAAACGCCTTCTAAATCTCTTTTTTTGCATCCAGACTGCAAAAGCCTCTGCTGGGAACTAAATGGGGCCTCTCTACAAACATGATCCGTGAAACCAGGTGCGCCTTGGGGCGTCTGCACGAAGCCCAAAGTCTCGCACAGCTGTATACCCAAAACCCAGAAACTGCCCAACTCCACGACCCAACCCCAGTCAGCCCGGCCGCACCTCGCGGAAAGCGGTGTCCTGGCAGGCCATTTTGGGGCTTCGTTTAGACGTCCTGCAGGTCATGACGATGTAAACGGTGAGGACGGCGAGATGACAAGGATGGCGAGCCCGTGGCCCATGATGCTTGTGATGGCGGTGGAAAACCCCGGATTCCGTATATTATTCATACATATATATATATATATATATTTATTTATTTATTTGTTTATTTATTTGTTTATGTTATGGTACGAGGCTCTGCCAAGTGCATCTGTCGGCCTCCGAGGAGTCACTGGATGGGAGCCGCGGCTGCAGCCTCGAAGCCACCGGTTGCAAACTGATACTTGGAAAGTCACGGATGGCCATGAAGGGAGAGAGGGAGGGAGTGAGAGAGAGAGAGAGAGAGAGGGAGAGAGAGAGAGATATATATATATATGTGTGTACATGCATACGTGCATCTATACAGTACATGTATCTCTATTCGTATCTATGTATGTATGTGCGTGTGCTCAGCAACTAGTGATACAAGTCTACCCACAATTGCCTATGATTTCATTTCATACAGGTATCCCATTTGTCCCTGTGGTTTCGCAACGAGCAGCTGCATATTGTAGATCCATGTAAAACTATGAAAAACTACAACTTCGGTCTTATATCGACGTGACGCTATCCTCTCTTCGATTCTGTTGTCCAGAGATTGGAAAGGCGACGTGACGCCTATGGAGAAATCAAAACCTGCAATGCAATAGATCGCTCTCTGGTTCCCTGCTTTGCTCTGCCCAGGTTGTGCTGGGGTGGAGCTCTCACTCACGGACCTGTGAAAAAGTGTTCGGATGTGGCCAACAGTTTTTGCTTTGGATCTGCCTAGCCAGGTTTACACCTTCTTCGAACCTTCGCCCGAGAACCCGAAATTCCTCACAAGCTTGTCGAAGACTCGGCTTGCGCGCCACTTGCACGAAATTGGTGTCAGGCTCACGAAGCGGGACGAAGTCAGCAAGCACTGACAGCTACAGACAGCAAATGGAGCCCTTGCGGCAATTCTCAACCACAGAGTCCGAACCCGTAAGATGAGCTTTGCCTGTAAATTTGCAACTCAAGACGCCTAGCCCTTAGCCGCTGAGCCCCGAAAGTCGAAACCCATGGAACCTGAAGACTTCCTCTGTTTCTGAAGTCAGTTCCCTCTCTTCTAACAGCGCAGGAACGGTCCAGGCGGCTCCAAGTCCTTGGTAGGGGCTCCTTCTCTCTTTCTTGCGGATGCTCGTTTATGGGATTCTGCATTGCTCTGGATTCGGGCCTCCAGTATTAAGGGCTAATTACGATGGAGTTGGACTCTAAAAGCTCGGGCATGGAGAGGCGACATCGAAAACGAAGATGCTACCTGACCTGGCCAATCTCACCGCTCTCTTTGACATGTTTCCAGATATGAACCAACCCACAGCCGGCTTTTGTAGCACTGTAACATCTGCTTTCATGATCTGAAGGCCAAGCTTGGCCCATGGGCTCTCATAGCTTCAACACCACGGCTGAGGCATGGGCCCAGTTGCCCGTGAGCTTGAAAGGACTTCTTCTCGTCTCCTCACGGGCCTGACAACACCATCTCTTGTTGGAGATATACTGTGCAGTTCCATGCTTTTCGAGGATGATCTCGGCATTCTGAGAGCTTCGCATGGCGCAATGGAGCTAAAACTTCGCTGCTTGGGTCGCTTGGGATCTCATCGATTTGCAGCTATTCTTGGTTTTGGAATGGTTTGGAGTTTGGGATCTTTGATCGCGGCTTTGATACTCGCATACGATAATTTTCTGGCCGTCAGCTTAGAACGACACGTTGACTTCACAAGGCTTCAGGGACCGAGGAGCACGTATTCGAAGATGGGAACGTGGAATCTTGATAGATCTGTTCTGGAATCCGGGTGGCCGCCCTCAGTATAGCTCCAGAGCCCTGCCCCTGCCTGTGGCGAGCCCAATGGAGATGGAGAGCCCTGGTTGACCCTCGCTGCCTGAGACTGAGAGCTCTGCTTCACAAGCTCCGGCCAGGGTACCAGGCCTTCGGAAACGTTCGAAGTTCAATCAAGACCCCAAGAGCTGAGGTCTACATCATAAACCTTGCTCCAGCTAAGACAAGTAAACTCCCCTGGAATTCTGGTACCACGATCCCCAATGTGTGGACTGTGGACCAGCCCCAGCAATGTGTAACTAGCTACAAACGACAATGACAAAAGCAACTCTCTCCTTCTCGCTTCCGTTGCTGCTTCAGCTGGTTTCTTGTGCCATACGTAAAGGGCCAGTGAAGGGCGTTTTACCTTGGGCACGCATAGTTGGCCCTGCCAGCAATATCGAGAATCAGCAGACGAGTTCCCGGAGGAAGACTCAGTAGATCCCGTGCCACACCAGCGAGTGACCCACTGATGGCACATTTCTGCAGGCATTGCGGGCACACAAAGTTGACCATGGGACAGACCGCATACCCCGAAGGCTAGGGCTGCTTTAGCGATTCCAGCGGAGTGAAGAAAACATCGACGTGGCAATCCAAACGCAGTGGATAGTTTTGGTCATTAGCCGTCGTTTCCTCCTTCTTTCCTCCATCATATTGCCCTAACTGTCGTGCTCCGCCTTATGTCTAGCACGAGCTCGAAGTGACCTCAGCCTAGTCTTGCAAATCAGATGGATCCCACCCAGGGCCCTCCCCGCCACCCCGACCGTCCCGCGCGGCTGATGATGCCAGGCTCCTATCATAACCTGCTTCCCCGTCTGCTTAAAGAAGGGACAAGTTGATGGGTTTACGTGCTGTGCTTCATGTACGGATAACATAACTCCATCTATTTGGTGAATCATGTTCTGCAAGCTAGGCTTCTGGAAAGAAATCGTGTCGGAACAGCTAAGCAGCCTGGGCGTGTGCCGCCGACGAATACTGGGTTTGAGACCTCAGCAGTCAGAATGACATCTGATCTTCTCGATACTGGGTGCGGCAGTGAGGCTGAGGACCTGATGTTGGGATCTCACAAATGATATGTGGAGCTTTAAGCCTAAGCTCAGACAAAAAATCGTTGTCGCTGTGGGGCTCCGGATTCCCATATTTCTAGGTCGCGACCAATGTGCTTCCATGTTTGATGCAGCCTTGGGTGGGTGGAATCAACTTTGCTTGTGTTCCTGCCATTGTTTTCGTTCACTGCGCCAAGAGTTACACGAATTAAGAACCACATCGCAATCCTGCCCTGAACGCAGCTGTGAGAGTGTCAAGGCCCATGGCTACACTTACTCAAAGGTGCTCACCTTCCAACCCTGAAACCTTGCACGCTGTACTCGGGCAGAGACACACTAAAGCCTGCACGCTTTTGTCGGGCTCAGCGTTCGGAGCCTCTCCGCATCAGACGGCCGCAAGCGCACCTGAAGCGAGACGACAGATCAAGGTCTTAGGATTCAAAGGTTTGGTTTGGGACAAAGGCCCTGCATTGCCGAAGCCTTCAGCCAGAAGTTTGCATTCGAAACTCTCATAGTCCGGATAGGTCTTCCACGCTGCATCCTGTTCCGCTGCCAGTCGCAAACTCCCGTTCTCGAACACAGCCATTGCGACGGGCTTTGAAAGAGCGCATGTGCCGAACGTGCCACGGTCAAGCCAGGTTGGCAAGATTTGCTAAAGGATGCTGAAACCTACCGCCGAATCCCAAACAGACTGGAATGGCTAACCGCCACACCTCAACTAGAAACGCCAGATCCCTGCGCTGGCAGCCGCTGGCATCATGAACCGCAGCCACAACATCCAAAGATCCACGAAAGACATGCGCCGCGCACCCGCAAAAAGGCCTGCAGCCGTCCTGGGTTGTTTGGAATCACCGAAGCGTCCAGGCCCCAGAGCTGCAGCATGCTAAGAACGGGACCTCCAAAGGTTTCGGCTTTCAAGCTCTGCGCGTTTTGGAGCTTCGACTCGCAGACTCCCAGGAAGCAGGCACGCTCCCTCTCAGGTACGATCTTTTGCCCCATTGCACCGTCCCAAACATCCACCAAACTAAATTTAGCTACCAACACAGCGTCTTGGAGCATGGGTCCCTGGGGTTCAATGCTCTAAGTTTCGGAGTCTTGATATACCTTCGTTGGGTTCCTACACAGACACAGTCAAAACCCGAATCAAAGCCCTCGAAGCCAGTGCCACGAAACCCCAAAAAGCAGCAGCAGAAATTCGGGACTCCGGCCTTGAATCACGCTGCCCCTACCTGGCAGCTTTCTGTAAGGAACGTCTTTGCTGGGACATCGGAGCTGAGGACTTTCAGGGCATTGGGCTGAGCAAGGGACGAAGTGAAATCCTCGGGGTCTGCCTGTAAATGGATTCCGGGCAGCTGCCTGACCTACTACTACTACTACTACTACTACTACTACTACTACTACTACTACTACTACTACTACTACTACTACTACTACTGGTACTACTGGTACTGGTACTGGTACTGGTACTAGTACTACTACTACTACTACTACTACTACTACTACTACTACTACTGCTGCTACTACTACTACTGCTACTACTGCTACTACTGCTACTGCTGAAGCAGCTGCTGCTGCCCTACTCTACCCTACCCTACCCTGCCCTACCCCCGAACCCAAAGACCAAACCACACAAGTTCCCAAAAGCACTAGAAAGCTTCCCCTGAAGTTAGAAATTCAATTAGTGAAGAGCACAGGGTTCTTGAGTCAATCTCGGACCAGGCACCGTCCGATCGCGACTTTCCTCAGCTCTGAAACATCTTCGAGGTGGCAAAGCTTGGTGTTGGGGCTTCTGGGCCTCTCAAAAGAGCCTCATCAAAGGACTGCTGTGCGCCAGTGTTTGGCTAGCTCGTGGATGGCTGCATGTCTGTTCATGTGGCTTGCGGGCATGTGCTCATGTATTTACGACGACATGACTCAATGGATGCATGTATTTGCGCATGACTCCCTGGTGTGTTTATGTGGCCTTGCACTTGTGCACTTCGAACATTGTGTAGACATATGCACATGTCGCTTACACACATTGAGAATGTGCGTCGTACATGCGTGACGCGGGGGTCTATAGCGAAGCTTTGACTGACTCACACATGCGTACATACACACAGACACACACTCTACCCCTCTTTCCCCCCTTTCTTCTTACAGGCCTCAAGGGCCGCGGCTGGGTGCAGGGCTTCCCTTCTCCCCTGCGCTCCAGGTTTACTCTCTGTCTCTCTCTCGCTCTCTCTAAAACCACCGGTTCACCACAGCCGTAATAACCGAAGACACGGAAGACGAGCTCCAAACGCTCGCAGTTCGATTGAACAGAACGATACGCCAGATACGTGTGACCGCCCTGTGCCCTCTCGCTCCAAGTAGCCCAAACCTGTGACGATCACGAAGCGGTCGAAAGTGCCAGCATCTAGGGCATCAGGGACAATTCCTTGACAGAAGCTCGGGATGCGCGACTGCCGATTTCTTCTAACATGGCAAACTTTCACGTCGACTGCGACTGCCTCAGCACTTGTCTGATGGTACTATCTCCCTGAGGCACTGCAGAGTAGTCGAGTCATGGAGGGCAAAAGCCTACAGGCCCAAACTACAGCTTCAGTACATGCAGGCCTTTGAAACTTTAACTTGTTGGCCACACCCCAAATTTGGCCTGAGGCCTTCAAACAGACTCGCAGGCATTCTTCAAGCGTACAGCGCAAAAAATGACAGACTGCACAGACGGCCTCTACATCCGCACGTCTCAATCCACAGAAAAAGCCTGGCAAGAACATGCTGATGCTCGCCGTCGTTGACACTTCTGATAGATTGCGCAGGGCGTCCTGGAAGCCAGCAGTTGAGCCACTTCCGAAATCCTGTCTGCCAAGCAGCGTGTCAGCCACCAGTGCACCCCTGCCAAGCTGGCACCCAGCGAGAGGTCGTGCAGGTCGATGATGCCTTTAGGAAGTTTCCGCAGGTTCGGTCACTGAACCCGAAATCCGTCCAAACACCTCCACCTACCGAGGCAAAATGCAGCCTATACCGAAGACAATCGCATTCTAGCAGGTGCAAAGGCAAAGCGATCAGCGTTTGGGCTTGGGTTTCTTTCTCTCTCCCCCGGCATGCGCATGCCAGCATCCACCTCGGTGCGCCGAGTCTCATGGCCAATGGGAGCTACAACTCGAAAACTACATCTACTTGGAGGACTTGGAGGATCCTAGGACTTAGTAAGCAAGGTGATAAGTACATTATTGGGGCTACATAAGTAATTCCAGGTATGATTACCTTCTTTATAACCCCAGTTACTAAGTCATACTGAGTCCCATGATCCTTTAAATACAAACTCTCCATGGCGAGCTCCGGGAGGCGCCCCACTCAAAGTAGGGAAGCTCTGAGAGGCTCTTGCTCGTGTCTTCTGACAAACCATCGCTTCTTTCGGGCCGCTGCTAAGACTTACCTAGGGTTCCCTGTAAAGGGATCCGTAAAGGGGTTTATAATGGATCTATAATCGGGTTCTATGTTAGGGGCCTTAATAATTCTGAGTACTTCCCTGAGGCTCCAATTATGATACCGGAATTCTGGGACAGGGACTAAGAGCTCACATCAGGCGATCTCCTGTCGCAACTGCACCCACCCTGCACCAGCAAAGCCCCGTGTGCCAGTAGGAACCCTACTCCAGTCAAAGAGTTTTGCACTATGGGTCCAAGTGGCCGGGCGAGCGCAGGAACTCTGGGTACGCACCCGCTTGTCGCGCAGAGGCAAAGAGGGCAAGCGACAGCTCCTGCACCAAGAATACGAAGCTCTGGTTGGGTCGTCATGCTGATGGGCCTGGACACAGGGTCTTGGATCTCAGCGGCTCTCCCAACTTTCTGGTTTTCGGATGCTGTTTTGTATGTAAATCCTCTGCATAGCACAGCTTCGAGCCGCAGTGTTCCTGGCACGCACAGCAGAACCGAAAGCCGAAAGCCCTTGCAAGGTCCGAGACCGTGGCGGGCCTGGAGTGGCAAGGGCCAGCCACTTCCAGTCCATCAGTCCAACAAGGGGAGCCGTGAAAAATGACAGGACAGACAAGCCGGGTATCCCGAAGGACACCTACTACAAATTGGGATGGGGATGGGCTTTGAAGTTAATGCGCATTGGGAAGTTTCCTGGCCTCCGCAACTCGTGGCAAAGCGTGGCAAACAGTCTACCTCCACCTCAGTGGCTTTCGCTGAGCCTACCTTCATCAATCTGAGAAGCCTTTAGCCAAGCTTCCGGAAGTTACAGATGTGAATCCCAGAAAAAAATCGACGTCTGTAGCCAGACGGAAACCCCTAAGAAAGCCCTAACCCGTCTGGACGGGAAACCTCTAACTAGGCTAATACCTACATACCTGCATACCTACATACATGTATCAATACGTCACCAGCCATACGAGTCAATACAAGTCCGTCAATAGGCAATACGTCAACACATCAGTACATCGATACACAGGTACTACTACTACCAGCTATCAATACATGCGTACCTAACATGTACACACACGCCGCGTACACCCCGCGCGCAATGCACGCACACGCCACGCGCATTGTACGCACGTACTGCGCGCCCTGTACGCACACACCGTGTGCGACCGTGTGCACTGCACGCACACACACACACACACACACACACACACACACACACCGCTCGCTGTACGCACGCACTGCGCGCACTGTACGTACACGCCGCGCGCATCGTATGCACAAACGAAAACACAGACTGCACAAGCACATTCTCTCCTGCGTGCTTGGCTTCCATAAGCACTATGCCAGGAACCTGTTCAATTTAGCTAGTGTGAAACCAAATCCCGAACGTTGCTCCAATAGGCTTGTCTTGGCAACACCAGGCTTAAAGGCGACCCACAAAACCAAGCTTACCGCGATCCCCCGTCCACTACACCAGTTTGCCTGTGAGTTCCTCGAGGCTCCATGTTATTAGCCCAAATATACGTCTCTACACCGGGCCCTTTATGCCAAGGAAGAGATTTTGGACCCTCTTGTTCTGCCGGATCGTACTTATCAAAGGCCACTTCTCTCCCTCCCCTCGGTCGCCCCTTAACCCGCCTCATGGCGGACGGCATCCAGGATCCCGTCGTGAAGTTCCGGGTCGGCACCCAGGCTTCTGCAGATCACGGAAGACTCGGTTCGTTTAGATTCCGGGATTCCGGATCCACAAATTTGGATTCTTGGCCGACCCGACCCCGGCGAGCCCTACCAAAACTCAGAAGAAGGCTTCACTGACTCCAAAATCCCAAAATGTCCTGCCCAAAACCGTTCCAAAGAGCGACCTGGCCTTGTTGCACGCCCGAAGACCTCCAGACTCCGTTGCCATTCCGTGGCAAGCCCACACCTTTGCAGAAGGCCATACAAGGTGCTGGGGCTGGTGGCCGCAAAGAAGCGCTTTACGGCTCAGCGTTCACGACTCGGACTATGGCCAGACGCAGAGGACGCGTCGGCGTGAAACACCTGGTGTGAGTTCCGCCAGGTACCTGCAAGTGTGCATGATGTGCTCTCGGCCGTACACTGACCAATCATGGTATAAAAACTGTTGCGTCAGCCCTCTTAAAGCACTATCCAGCATCAGATGATCTGAGAGCTGCGGCAGATTACGGAGTGGCACACCATATCTGCAAGCACGATGCTACAGATCAAGCCGCGGCTCAGAGCGGTCAGGCTTGACCGTTTCCGTGTCCTCAAAATCCTCAGTGTCGTCGTCGTCCTCCGGCTCGAAATCGAAATGCTTCGCATCGCTCGTGCCACAAATGTCCACGTCCCAACAAAACCCAGCCATGTCTTCACCCAGAGTCAGTGCATCGACGAGCCCGTCACCGAAGTTCTCAAGCACATCATCGCATTCGAATTGAAGAGTTGGGTGGTGGAGCGCATATCCTTTGGGATTTGGCAGTGCAGCCAACGTGTTCCGGTTGCACACCTTCTTTGTGAGCACTTCCAACACTTTGGATTCTGCCGCCTTACCTGCAGGGGCATTCCCGATGTAGTGGTAGGGACTTCCTGGTTTGGTACTCTTGGCTTGCCTCCATACAAGGTCCGCTTCCAATGCCAGCTTCTGGCATATGACACACCTCAGTCCACTTCGCCCTTCGTCTCCGCGCCGCTTCGCACCTCCCTTCCCACTACTCGCACGCACATCGTTCAAAAGGGATCCTGCGATCCAGATCCATGCACCAAGTCCGAGAAACATTGGCCGCTCAAGTGACAGCAGCTATGTTGTTATGAGCAACCAGGAACATGTGATACACGCACATAAGCCTGCAAGTACCTGCGTGGATAGAAGCACAAGTTTCAACATGTGCATATGTGCATATGTACATGCTTGAAGATATATTTCTAAAACTGTATATCTTCTATGTATTCATACATGTGTGTGTGAGCGCGCGCATGTGTACTTGAATGTCTGCTTGTTTGCATGTGTTTCTTTTTATTTGTATGCATGCATCGGCTAAACAAAAACCAGCCCCACACCATCCACACACACAGACACAAAAAGCGGGCGCTCATGTGCCACACATACGTATCCTCCAGTCCGGCATACATGGGGTATGACGTGCAGAACTGGTGTCCTACCCAATGACGTTCCCTGAGTGGCTTGAGCCAAAAGCTGCCACAGGCTTTAAGCCAATAGCCGCCAGGGTCTGTGGTACAGGTGGGACTTGATGTTCGGGTTATCGTGTCAGAGCCTATGTACGTCGTATGTACATAGGTGTCTCTCAACTATACATACATGTACGTGTGTGTGCATCAAGATTTTCTCAATCTCTCTCTCTCCTCCCGGGATGCGGAAGCGGGCATGCCCGCATTGATTGGTTAACTGGTTGACAGGCACATGGGTAAACAGATACATAGGCAGACACAAAGGCAGTACAGGATGGGCAAGTAGGCGTACATCTTGCTTAGGCACCGAAGCAGGACAACAGCGGCACAATTGAGTACCTGAGGTACAAATACTGAGCCATATAATTCTGACATGGTGATGATGTGAAGCACTACCAGCAGCTGACCGAGACGCGCTCAGAGTGCGGAGCCTTCGGCTTAGGTACGTACATACGCACATTCATATATTCATACATGCGCAGAAAGTATTCCGCAATACTGGCAAGCATACCTTCATCCATCCAGCCATTCATCCATTCATCCACTCATGCATTCATACACACATCCATGACCTGCCGTTTCATTCGATGTTCATGCCCCTTTCCTCTCCATTCCCTTCCCTGCCCTTCCCTCTGCTTCCCTCCTCTCTCTCTCATCCCATTCCATTGCAGTTACAGTTCTCCTCCATTCCCCTGCGTTTCCTTCCATTCCCTTCCGTTCCATTTGCCCTGCATTCCCTTCTATTCCCTTACCTTCCCTTCATTCGTTCCGTCGTATCTACTTTGTTGATGTGCTGGTTCTGTTTCCGAATGTGTGCGCATGAGTCTGTGTGTCTGCACGTCTCCTTCCAAGCACATGCAACCGTGGGTTAGTTTGCTATTTCCTGATTCGTACATGCAGCTACTGCTAGAGAGATGAAGCAGTCCTTTCCCATGGTCTTCGTACGCCACACGGCTAGCATTCGGCAAGGTATTTCTACGGCAACATACCAACCGTGCCGCGGCACGCCCGCATGACTCCGTTGTAGCAGCTGCTGTTCACGCTGACATGGCTCCTTCCAGGGGCTCGGGGTTTGCGGCTCGAGGCCGTAAGATGATTCCAGGGTGAGCCTGGTCTTCGACCCATGGACTTGCAACTTTAAGCAATGCCTGACATCCCCTTCCCTGCAAGTCTGCATCGTTCTTCAAACATTGACGTCAGCATTGTGCTGCCCTCAGGCCATAGGATCGTGTGCAGTATGTTGCAGGGTTGCCTCTGGCCAGCACAAACTGCCGGAGTTAATGCCTGGGGTCTGGGATCAAACCGTGCAAAGCACCCATTCGAGGCCAAGCTTCGCTTGCATCGATCCAAGCAGATGTACCGCCCATTCCCACTGCCCAGCCTTCTCCTTGAAACTTAGGGGTTCAAGTGAGCACAAGGCATCATGGCCTTTGCGTGGGGTCTCAGGACTGTGGGTATGATAAGCTTCGGTTTCGCAGCGAAGGCTCGGTCTGGGATTCGGGATTCGGAAGTTTACCTGTGTGGGGCTTCTGGGGCCCGCCATGCTAGTGGCATTCACAGGTTGGGGATGCAGCCGAAGGAATTCGCAGGAGTGGTGAAGAACCCTCCTTATGGAGTCACGCGCACAATCGTATGTATCTGGACTCCAGTGATAAGCCCAAAGAACGCCCATCCCAAAGTCCCCAAGGCCCGTCAGGGCACAGAATCTGGCTGCTGATAACTGCCAGTATCCGGACATCCTACAGAACAACCGAACCCCTAATCCATCGGCGTACGAGTGACATTGCAGCTGATGGCAGACACGTAGCTGATGGTATCCTCGATCCGGTGTAAGAGTTCAGGCCAAATGCAGCTCTGCTCGGACAGTCTCCATCGCCGTGAGACTATTCCGCTCGGATTCTTGGCCCAAGATCGGACTGTGCCACAGGTGGCCGCTCTCAAAACCTGACTTCAGCACAGGCGCTGGCGGCAGTTTCGCGGCAAGCATCTGCTGAAGGAGGCTCAAGCATGGCTGCCACCTCGGCTGCTGCTGATTTGTTGGTTCTTTCGGTGGCGGGGTCAGGGTGCGACCCCGGTCCTTGTCGTGAAAGCGTGGAAACCAAACAAGAGAGACGCTCGCCTTTCATCTGCACCTGCGCCCCGATCCTGCAAACGCTGCGCGTGCGCGAGCTTTCCGTAGTTGCACGACAGGCCTTTCCCAATCGAGCCGCTGAGCACCTTTCTGGCAGGATGATATGGCGCCATTGTAGCCTGAGCTTTGAATTGCACACAGATGGAAGAGAAAGCGAGGCCCCACGTCGGTTTGGCGATGCTGCGTAAAAGCCACCTAGGAGGCCTGGAGCCCAATCGACGTGGGCTCTCAGCTTCTGCAGCATCTACTGACAGAACCGGCAACTGCGAGGAATCAAAACATTCAACGCCACTGCCCGTTTTGGATTCAAGCTTCGGGGATGCCTGGGCCTGTTGCCATTTATCTTGCCTGCCTGCTTGGTGGCATCGCCTGCGGATACCAACCTTGTTTCTTGTTTGGATGCTGCCTGGGCTTTCTCATCCTCCAAGGCTTGGAATTTGGCGAGGCTTGTTAGCAGCGAACTATGATGAAAGAGTATGTATAGCTACGGCTGCATGTCGGCCCCCATATTCACATCATGTCTCGCCACTCGTAATACCGTAATGCTACAGATTACAAGTCACCAGGTAGTTAAAGCTACGTCACTACGTGCACCCTCTCGAAGTCCGGAGGCTGAGAACATCCGCTGGAATCGTCGCAGCCCTCATGTCCTCCGCAGGATGTCTACGTACGAGGGCTTCTTGGCTAGGTGCGCATGCTGCCTTGGAACCGCAAGGAGCGGCAAGTTCCAGTACTGCCCTTTGTAGTTCTAGGAATTTTGCAACTGCAACCCACCCCTAAGCTAAATCCTAAACCCTGGGCCCTTTTTTGAACGAGGTCTCTCTGAAGTCCCTCCATAAGCCGGCCACACCCGTGCTCCGCAAAAGACGCAGCGACTGAACTCTGACATCTGTAGATTCCGCTTGCCATGGCAGTACTGCACAAGGCTCAGAAATTCAAGACATGCGCCTGAATTAAAACAGCACAATACAGAAACAGGACCCTCAAGAAGTTCACAAGGCCAGACACAGAAGAAACCACTGACCTAGAACTGATGAGCCCGTCATCTCACGAACCCTAAACCCTAACACCTACTATAAACCCTTAGAGTGGAACCCTAAGCCCGCTGGCCCCAATCCCCGGAAGCCTCAAAGAGCTGCAGTGAGGGCTGCCACTGTTCGCCAGTCCTTTGTCTCCAGGCTTTGATCTTTGGGGTTTTTGTTTTCTTTAGGGTTTAGGGTTTCGACTCGCACACTCGCAGACGCAGGCACGGTTTACGCTCTCGCAACTCGGACCTGCCAGACGAGGTTCTCGGGCACGGTGTAGGGTTTAGGGCTTTAGGGTTTTTTGTTTTTTTGTTTTAAGGTGCAGTGGCTCTTTCTCCGCTTGCAAACAGGTCTCAGAGCCTGCCTCGAATGGAGGCTTACACCTAGAACGAAGATGCTCTCAGAAGCCCATCTCACACAGTATGAGGGCCACGAACTCGACAGGCTTTAGGGCTTTAGGGTTTAGGGTTTACGGTTTACATGTCCTCCTCTTCTAGGAATCAGGGATCCCTCGTAGATGCCCGAAGCGGCTCAGTGGTTTGTTACGTGCTTTGCACCTCCGTAAAGGTGATAAAACCCCTAAAATTGGAAGACTACACTGCAAAGCCCGGGTGCGTCTGGCAGAGGAACCCTTCCAAAATTTGAAGACCTTCCAGCTGCAGAGAAAGAACTCCTAGAAGACCCAAAGCGTGCTTCCTAGGTGGTGCAATGGTGGTCTTCGAGGAGAAGCCAGAAACTAAGTGCTAAACACTGCCCTTTGAAGACCGTAGCAAGGGCCCTCCAAGTAAGCCCCAACAAGCCCGGCAAAGCAAGAGTCTGGTAGGCAAGCATGGCGGTGTTGTAGCAGACCGCATCTGTGGCAACACCGGCCGGCCTAGCAGGAGCTTCCAAAGTCTCAAAAACATGTTTGCAATGTTGGGGTTTTAAGCTCAAAGTTGTTTGGTGGCTTCACGAGTCACGAGCTCCGCGCTTTGGGCATAGTCTTTAAGCCTTCGGCTTTGAAGCCAGTGCTGGGTCAGGAGCCGACTCACACTGGATGATGTGGATGGCAAGGCAAAAGGGGAGGGTCACGCTTGTTACGAGTCTTGGAAGACTGTAAACTGAAACGACAGGTCGCATCCCCTTGCCAACTGCTAGGTTTCTTCGACTCGTCCTGGTTAGGGAGGCAGGTCCGGCCTTCTAGCTTGGAGGACGGGGGTCAGGGCCAACGGCTTGTAAAGGTGGAGTCTAGGAGTGTTGTGGGCAGGGTCTTACGTGATTTCGCCAACCCCGGCATGCTGTGAAAGAGTTGAACCGCCAGCTGCCACTGGCTCGCTGCAGTGTAGGCAGTGGACAGGGTGCTATAGCTATACCTGGGCGGCAAGGCTCAAACCACCATCCGTTCTTGCGCGTGTCACTTTTCTGATCTTCGGACACAACTTGAAGCCAGAGTACACATCCGGCATGACTTCCGCATCGCACATGGTGCCGAAAAGTTGTCGGGCGAGCTGCCACTGCCTTTGGAGTCTCGAGGAGGCTGTTGGCATGTTGGCCGCACAGTTACGGGCTGCTTCAAGGGACAGCAAAGACACATGAGGAGATTCTGTGGTTCCGTCTCGATGCAATCTCTTCGGAGCCTTGCAGTAACCTGTGCGAATTGGTGCTCGTCAAACGATAGGCATTCGCCAATGTGATAGCCACTGCAACCTGAAGCAACATAATACCGCACTAAGGATGTACCCCGTATATAAGTTTGCGGAAAGCCACTGAATTAGCTGCAGCTTCGTCGCCCACCCTGAGCCCCGGCGCTCATTGCAGCATTGTAGCTGAAGTGGTCTGGCGAAATCCTGGCCGGTGTGGGCATCGGACTTGGGGGCCCCCCAGTAAAAGAGACATCGAAGCGGCCTGGTTTCGAGCATGGACCGAAAGAGATCCAGGGCCTCTTCCCAAAGCTGAGCAGCCTGGCCAGAACGCGGCTGCTTCGCCCAGTGCCACATCCAGCACAATGAACAGAGAACCACAGTCTCACTGCAAGTCTGTTGCACACACGACAATGCCTGCCTGCCTGACACACATACATGCATGCATACGTACCCAAACGAAGCAAACGCCAAAAGTCCAGTATCAACCGAGCTCTACACCTAACCGCCCTAAGCTGGTTTCGCCGACACCCGACCTCCAGGATGCTCATGGTGGTGTTGAAGCTGACGGTGTCCTTGAACAGCTTCAGGCTGGGCCAGAAACGCTGTTAGTCCCGAATGTTCGTCATGGTTTTGCTGCTTCTGCAGCTGACAAGAAAGTGGGCGTGCATCAGTGCTTTCGAACCTACAGTAGCGAAGATTCCCTTGTTGACTGTCGTGCTCCAATCCACAGTACGTCGCAAATGCCGGGATCGGCGTCGAGTACCCATGATCATTCCGGCTTTCGTGGGCCTGATTGACTTTGGGGGCCAGAATCGGGTTTTTTCCCCTCCTACTTGGCAAGGACGAAGCCCGCATTGCTTTTTTTCCCTCCTACTTGGCCAGGACGAAGCCCGCATTGCTTTGGGGTTGGGGGTTTCGGCTCTCACACTCGGACAATCCAGAGGGTTGAGAGTGTCACTGCGACTGTGGGATTGGCGGCGAGGGTCCGGCGCGATCTGCATCTCAGGCAGGCGCCGAAACAGCTGCATCGACATCAGCCACTGGGCATTCCTGGATTTGTTTCATGAGTGCACAAAAAAACGATCTACAGTGAACCTAGCAATGTGAGTTGCAGGGCATCCTGCGATGATGCGCTGAAACCCGCAGCTGCTCCGATTCGGCACCATGAAGTTTCCCTGCCAGGTTTTGCCCAGGTGCTTTCCGCAAGCATTGATGACGGCATTCCCGGTAGCAACATCAGGGGAGACCTCCGCATGTCCGCAAAAGCTTTGAGGCTTCTGGTCTTGGATCCGGCAAGTGGGGAAGACTGTGGCCTTGGCAGTGGGGGGAGAAACCAAACAACCCAAGGCCTACAAGGTAGTGCAAGGGCCTACAAGGGCCTAGAGGCCGAACACTGCCCTGAGAGCTAGTTCCAATTCACACATTTAGGATCTGATGGCGGCAGAGGGCTTGGAGTCGTAAGGGGTTGTTGTTGTCGGGCTGGGGATTTTTTAAGTGGAAGGTCTGAGTCTACACTAAACTGCAGGACATCGTGCACCTTGGCGGCTGGCATGTCCTGCATCAGAAAAGGCCGAAGAGATTCATCCATCGGCTTGGGCCTTTGACTTGGGGTCTGGAGTCAAACTTGCTGGTGGCGTTTCTCGGAACTGAGACCAAGGCCTTCAATGCTCGACTCCCAGGGCTTGCGGCCAGGCATTTACTGGTGTTTAACCGGAACGAGAATCAGACGAAGACAAGTGCTCAAACATGCTCGAGATTGCAACAAAAGGCCTTGTCACTGCTCTTTATCCTCACAGCAAACTCGGCAATCGCTCCTCTGCATTTATATTTTGCGAAGCCATGGAATCCTAAACCCGCCCCTGCACTCCGAGGCCCGGAACCCGGACGCGGTATGTCACTTTGGTTTTAAGCTCTGCCACGCCAGTGGTCCTAGGCATGAGAGGCACGGGTCCCCCGTTGCAATCCTCCAAGAGCTGCAAGGCCAAGTTCCAGCAGCCCCCGGCTTCCTAAGGCGATGGAAAGACTTTGACACAAATCGGCCAGTTCAAGTCGGCACCGACCTTTCTTGTCGGACTGTTTTTTCACAAAAGACCCACAACTCCACGACACCAGGGTCCAAAGCCCTTTCTTCCGAAACAGGAAAGACTCTCCTCGGCATGCCCCCCAAACCTGTGAGCGCCTGGGTCAAACCCTCAGATGCCTCCACGGCTCGAATGCACGAATGCATGCGTTGAAGCTGACGACGGTGGGCACCACCCCGTCCTCTGGGACTTCAGGTGCTCACAGGCGGCCTTTCAGTTTCCCTTTCCTTTTTGTGCACGGACAAGCTGGGGTTTGCCCACAAGACCGCGATAGAGTAAGATGATAAGCAGGTACTTCGACGAGCATCTCTTCAGGCAGAAAGGGGGGAAGTTCGAGAGGGCCCCCGCTCCTCCATCATGGAGGCAAAGGTCTTGACCGCGAGCTCCCATTCGCTGGCAGTCTCCTTGCCAGGACCCCAAACACACACGCGAACCGTTGGGCTTGAGGCCTGAATACCTCGGCCTTGGAGAGTGATCAGGGAGTGGGGGAGCCTCGCTTGAAGATGAGGCCCGTGGACCTTTAGACTGAGATTAAGAATCTTCAAAATGCACAAAACCCCAGAAACCCTCGACTCAAACCCAAGTCAAACAACGTAGAATTTGAAAGCTATGGATTGCATTGCGCTCTGCAACACGTGCGAAACTTGCAGCTCGAAACCCTAAATACGCTGATAGAGGCAAGACTCAAGCGAGCTGACAGTGGCCTCAGGCTCATTCAAGCTCATCAGATGAGAATCGGAAGTGCTACAGTAGAGTAGGAGATTGCATGAACTGTCTCCCTCTCGCTTCCTTTCGGCCTTCTCGCCCTCTTCCCCCAAGCCCTTGCACAAGAACACGTCACTTTCCCACGCGATCCCCTCTTCATTGCCTGTCTTTGAGCTGACCGACTTCGGATTACATGCCCTCGTAGATCCTGGAAGCTAGCTGTAGCAAGGACAGTCCAAGTTACATTGTATGTGATGACATCGCGAGACACGGATGTGCGCACCATATCCCCAAGCATCTGCCCGGTCAACTGCCACTGCCTCGGTCGGCGCCCAGGCACAATTTGGTCGTGGCAGGCTGAGCGCAAGGTGGAGTCGGGTCAACGTGCCAGCTTCAACGTGCGTTGCCAAATTCCTCCAAAGCTGAACTTCAGAGAAAATCAAGAAAGCAACCATCACCTGTTTCAGCCTACGTCAGCAGATAAACAGGGACTGCCAAACCACAATGTTGCTTGGGATCTACGTCTCCAGAATCTACGGGAGTAAGCAGTGGGGGTACGATTTAAGAAGCATCGGACTAAAGCGAGAAGGCCAATCGCAAAGCAGACACCAGCGTGCAACTGAGTGATGTTCCCTGTGGTGTTCTTCAACGACCGAAGTACTTCAGGCCAAACCACAATCCGGCACACACGGACGTGGGCGACACGCACCAGATGCCCCCATTGGATTAATGACATGCAGGCATTTCTGATCTCCTGCAGGCGAGAAAATCTACTGAACGCTAAACCGGACACTAGTTGTCTTCTGCTGCTGTGCTGCCCCTCTCTTCCCAGCGCACTGATGGCAGTATTGAAGTTGACCACGCTCCTGAATGGCATGCAGCCAACAGCATTTGTTGTGCTGACAGATTGAAACAGTGGTTAGCATGTCCAAATGCTTGCAAATTTGTTTTTTCATCTTTCATTGCAGCGACCAAGCTTCAAAAAAAAATCAACGCATGCTGGTAGGAGACGAGAGGCGGACACACGCGACGACTTGCCATGTCGCGAAACAGGCACAGCACCATTTGCCAGTGACCCGTGACATCCTAGGCTGCAAGCTATCAGAGAAGCACCAACTTCGAAACCCTTCGCCGAAGTTCCAGAACCCGGAAGACGGCATTGTAGCTGAAGGCGTCGGGCGCCACATCCTGGATCCAGCATCTAGATTCAGCTAGATGGGATGTGCCTCATTCAACTCACAAGCACGCCAAGAAAGTCGCCTGCGAACCGCAGAGTTCACCGAAAAGCTGCAAGGCCGCTTGCCATTGCGCCGCTTCCTTGTGGCTTGGGCTTTCTGGTTTGGGAGGCAGCCGTGAGGCCGAGGGATCGACCACACCATCCGCTCGCCGCAGAAACTCTTCTCTCTCTCTCTCTCTTTCTCTCTCTTGCTTGCTTGCTTGCAGGGCATTTGGGGGTGTGAGGCGGGCCCCGCGTGCCCTGCGCGAGCGCTATGCCACTGTTCGTGTCCGGGGTGAGACATGCTGACAACGTGCCAGACTTCCACCCGCGCAGAAGCTCATGCATGATTGTCATTAAGCCCGGGTCCCGCCTAGTCTGGCACTTTTGTGTTGGTTTAGCAGTCGTGGGTATTCCTCGACTTGGGTTCTGATCGTTGTGGGTCCCCTTCTGACCAGTTGGCTGTGTTGAGCCCTGTCCTCGCTACCTGGGTTTTATGATTTGCTGCTTGTTTGGGCGCGGGTCCCGTCCCCTAGGGCTCGCTCTCTCTCTCTCTCTTGCTCTCTCTCTCTCTCTACCGGGCTTGGGGTTCAGGCCAGCGTCCTGGGCCATCCCCCCGTGCGCACCGCACACCCGCAGTTCACGGATGGTCTGTTCCCCCTCCGAAACATCGTTCAGAGCGGCTCGGCTATACAGGGAACTTTCCCCCGTTTTCGGCTGGGAACCTGCAGCAATGGTCCCTTAGCCTGGGGGTTTAGATACAGAACAGTGCGATCCCCTCCGCTGGAAGGTCAAAAGGACACTGGCAAGTCGAACAGTTACTGCACACACTCACTCTGAGGGCCGGGCCGAAACACTCGCGAGGTAAGACAGTACAGTACAGTACACATACAACTGCTCCCCCGGTCATGTTCCCCCTGACTGCACTGTAGCTATTACACTGGTTCGCACAGGTCCCCACACAGAGTATGGTGTACAGTTTAAAGTGATGGGCACCCTCGAACAGTGTCATCACCCCCGATTAGTAGGGCCCGTGCTTACCGTAGAAAGCTGCTTGCAACCGCCTTCGGCGGTGGCTTCCCCCGTCGTCATCATCGTGACGGGGGCTTCTAGAGCGGCTTCTCTCAGTACGTTCTGGTTCGTGATCCCCTCCAGGCCATAGTGCGGGCCAAGGCAACGTTGGGGCTTCACTTTCGGTCTGTGTTGGTAGTGTTGCCATCTCCCCCACTTCATTGACCGCCTGCTGGAGACTGGCAGTCATGACTGCTTCCATTTGGGCTGCAGTTAGCGCTCCCCCCGGTGCTGTCGGGTTCTCCCCGCTGTCCACGGCGTGGGGGTGCAGGTCCGTTGCCTCGTTCTCGGTGTCGCGAAGCTGCGCGTTGGACCCGTGGGCATTCTCTGGCTCCCGGTCATAGTCCGCCGCTGCTTCCCCCGTCTGTGTGCTTTCGTGTACTGCATGTACTCCCCCGAACAGTGCCTGTTGCCAGGCTTCCACAGCGTGCAGGAGCTCAACCACTGGTAGCAGGACCGTGTCCGACACATAGGGCACGATGTCTTTGAGCCGTTTGGCCGCTTGCAGTAGTCTCTCTGTCGCGCTGGCTCGGCGATCTGTGCGCGCTTCCCACTCTTTGGTTCCCCCCCGGCTGAGCTTGAGCACGTCAGCGGGATGGGCCGTGGAGGGGTCGTCCTCCACTGTGTATGCTTCCCCCTTTTTGGTCGCAAGGAGCGCGGCTGGTGACAGTAGGTCATGTAGCTGGTTCCACCAGGCCAGCGTATTCCAGTCTCGTTCCCCTCCTAGTGCACGTAGGATCACTCCATCGACCATGTTGTATGCTTCGCGCAGCTTTGCGGAAGCTTTTTGGACGCTAGCCTCTGTGACGTCCCGTGGCATGGGTTCCTGAAGCTCGGACAGCCCGGCCTCTATCATCGCTCGGAGTTGGCTGAGGTCGGTCGCGAACTCTTCCGGGGTGAAGCCTTCTCCCCGTCGTACTCGCATGGAAGCCACAAAACGGTAGGCTTCACTCATCCCTGTCGGCTCCCCCATGACGGTTCTCCCCCACATTCTGGCTTCTGGGTGGGTATCCGCCTGAGAGAGCATACGGAGCGCGATCGCGCAGATATTGGAGATGATTTCTCCATCTCGGTTGGCAAGGCCGTCCGCAATCTCGTGGATCATCTGCAGCTGCGCGAGGGTAGCTGTTATTGCCCCCCTCTGTGGTGCCAGTAGGGCTTGCAGGTCCGGCTCCTCCCCCGTTCGTGTAGTTGGCGGTGGGTCGGTGGAGCCCGCGGCTGTGGACGCTGGACGCCCCCGAAGCTGGTCTATCAACGGTGTTCGCCTGCGTCTGCGGATCAGGCCGCAGTTCTCTTCGTCGGTAGTTGTTCCATTCCAGTGGCTTTCCCCCTCTTGTTCTGGCGATATTGCCGTTGGTGGTGTCGAGGTGGTACTGGTAGAGGACGATGTAGTGAGTTCCGGCACCCTCTGCATAAGCTCTGTGCGGTCATGATCAAGAGCTGGGCTCGGCGTAGGGCTCGGTTTTGGGCCAAATTGCCTTCCATCTCGTATCTGCTCGAACCATGGGGTGGGTGCGGGTTGTGCATGGTGGTGGGTTGTGGCGGCTTGGGCTTCCGAGCTGGAGCGTCGTAGGGTTCTGCCGTCCGAGAGGGGATTGCGTGGTTGTTGTTGTTGTGGTGGCTGTGGTTGTTGTTCCCCCCCGTCTTGCTCTGGTTGAGCTGGTCGTGTCTCTTCTGGCTCTGGTGTGTGCCAGTCGTGGTTGGTGCTGTGGGTTTCATATGTTCCCCACTGTTGTTGTGAGTGGCTGGCTTGGTCGTGCCATGTGTCTTGGTTGGTGTCTTGGGGATCGTCTGTCCCCCTTTCCTCCGGGCTGGGGCTGCTGCCGTCTGTTGTTGGCTGTGGCTGTGGGTCCCCCGGTGTGAAAAACCAGGAGTGGTGGTAGTGAATTGCATGTTCCAGTGCGTCCTGGTTCTCATGAGAAGGAACTGGTCTCCCACCTGTAGGGCCATGCTGTGTGCTTCCTGCTGTTGGGTTGTTGGGGTCTGCGTGACAGTGGCTAGCCAGCGGGCTTCGGAGATTGGCTCCATGATGAGCCAGGTTTCTCCGCTGATGGGAGGGTAGGCTCCGAGTGGCATCCCAGTTGGTGGGGGTGGGACTGTTCCCCCGGTGTGTGCAGGTATGTCGGACTGGAACTCGATCCGACTGAGCCATTTACCTGCTCTAAGGGCTGTGTGACTGGTGGTGGTAATGGCTGAGTGTGGCAGTGGAGGTGGGGAGGAGTGTTCCCCTCCGAGCGTTGGGGCGCGGGGTTTGTGTGGTTCTTCCCCGGCCTGTGTGGTTGGTTGTTGTGGTGGTCTTCTGGTGGGGTAGTAGCTAGTTGCTTGCGGGGCTGTCGTGGCGGTGGTGTCTTCGTCGTCGGGGTTCCAGTAGGGAGTGTAGGTGGATGCTTTGGTCGCCGTGGATGGTTGCTCTGGGTTGGTTGGTGTTTCTGGTGTGGTCAGGTGTGATGGTAGTGGTTGCCCGGGGTTCAACAGCCGAAAGTATTGGGCCCGCTCGCTTGTGCTGAGCTGGGGCGGTTGCCATGTGGGTGGTGGGCTGCTCTCTGCAGGGGCTGTGTCGGCTTGTGTCGCGTGTGTGTTGTTGTGGTGTGCTTGGTCCTGGCTGAGTAGATGTTGTCCCCACCTAGTGTGGTGCAGGTCGTTGGCTTTCAACCAGCGTTTGATGCGGTATTTCTCCGCTTTGTTTCTCGTGCGGGTGGCTCCCCCTCCTTCATGCTGTCGGTAGCGTCTTGGCTGGGCGCTGCGGCGTCGTGGTGATTGTTGTGTCGATGTTGGCTGGGCGTCGTCCCCCTGCGTGCTGCCTCCGTCTCCCCCGCTGTTCTCATCGAGTGTGGGTAGGAGTTCTCTCTCGATGTAGCTTGTGGGGATATTCCCAGTCGTGATCCACGTGTAGTGTTCACGCATGGTCATCCCTGGGATGGCTTTGGTGCCGCCTGGTGGGAGGCGTGTCCCTGTCACCGTCTCGAAGGGAGACCGGACGGCCAGGCGCGGTGTAGCTTCCCCCGCTGCTGTGGCTGTCGAATGGGAGGGCTGTGTGTCGCCTGTCGGGTCTGCGGTGTCGGCTGTGGTGGCTTCCGGCTGTGGCTGTTGTGGTTGTGGGTCTTGGTCAACATGTGTAGGTGGGACCGTCGGCTGGTCCGTTGATGGTGGTGTAGTGTGGTGTGGTTCCCCCCCTTGTTGGGGGGTGGCCATTGCTGTCGGGTGGTAGTTGGCCCACGGGTCCGTGTCGGGGTTGTATTCGCTGGCATAGGCAATGCAGTGGGGGCCGTGGGGGCGGATGGGGGCTCCCGTGGCTGTCGGTCCGGTGGCTTGCGGTTGCTGATGTTGTGGTGTACTTGGCGCTTCGATGATTTGTCCATCTGGGTCGCGTAGGTTCCCCCAGGCATCGTAGTATGCGAACCCGTGTTCTTGGGCTAGCCGAGCCGCTGTGTAGGGTGGTTCTTGTGGTGGTGGCTGATGCTGCGCTTGCTGTTGTTGTTTGTACATCTGTGCCAGGCCTTGTGCGACTTGCCGTGCAGGGTTGTCCGGAGGTTGGCTTGTCAGTAGGAGCACTCCGGTCTTTTGCCCCTGTTGGGCTTGTGGTAGTGGTTGTGGTTGTGAGGGTGCCCCCTCTGTGGCATGTTGGGAGTGAGGGGGATTGTGCTGGTAAGGTTGTGGCCAGGGATCCGTGTTCGGATCGTACTGTGGTGGCGGTTGTGTGGGCTGTTGCCAGTGGTAGGCTTGTGGTTGGGGTGACGTGTTTTGCGGCGGCGGCTGCTGTGGCAGTGGTTGTTGAAAGGAGGCCGCGGCGTGCCATGTCTGCTGCTGCTGCGGCATGTTGCTTCCATGTGGGGGTGTAGTCTGGTGGGTTCCCCCGGCTTGGGCTGAATGCATGTGGTGTGTGCTAGCGATCGAGCCCGCTACACTGCTTTGGCTTGGAGGTTGTTGTGGCTGCGTTGGTGGGAGCTGTCCGGCTGCTCCCCCGGCCCGGCTTGCTTGGGTTGTAGCTGCCGTTGGCAGTGTTCCTCCTGCGGTTGCGAGCTGGTCTGGT